TCTTGTGTTTAAGAACAGTTGGTAACATTCTATGGCATGTTATGTATATACCTTTTATCTTAAAAGTTAACATTCTTCCTTCCTCTGACCCTTTCTATGTTAACAATCTCATTTCTTCCTGTTCTTTGGCACAGTTTCTCAGCTACTTCTATGCCATCTGGTTGTTATTAGCACGTGGGATTTGCTTTTAACTACTTTCCTGTGTGTGCAGATGTTACCCTTGAATTATTGGGAGCCCACTGCTTCCCGAGGCAGTCCATTCCATGTCAAAAGAGCTTTCCTCTTTGCTAAATAAATCAAGTATATGTATATGATTTTTACATTTCTCTTTGTATGTATGTCAGTGTAAGGAGGTCTTCTTAGTTGTTTTGCTTAATGTGTGGAATGTCTACAGTGGTGATTTGTTCAAGTTGTAGGGAAGGATCTCAGCACCTGGCACTTCTACATTTTCATGTCTGGCTACGCCCTCCCACCACCCAGAACCACAACAGTGTGAGCTGTAAATTTGGGCATAGCATTTTTTTTTTTTTGAGACAGTCTTACTCTTTCACCCTAGGTAGAGTGCTGGTGGCATTATAGCTCACAGCAACTTCAAACTCTTGGGCTCATGCCATCCTCTTGCCTCAGCCTTCCAAGTAGCTAAGACTATAGGCACAAAAATGCCTGGCTATTTTTTTTTTTAGAGACAAGGGTCTCATTCTTGCTCAGGCTGGTCTCTTAACTCCTGAGCTCAAGCAATCCACCCTCCTCTGCCTCCCAGAGTGCTAGGATTATAGGCGTGGGCCACCGTACCCATCCGGGATAGCACATTCTTAATACATGTTTGGTGTCCAGGCCACCTTCTAAATAGAGAACTATTTATATGTGAAAGTTTATATAATTAAATGTATTTATCAAAAATAGTAATATCTCCATCTAGAAAATAATTTTATGGGCACACTTCCTGGGTGAAGGACTCAACCACAACTTATACTTTGGACTTTACCTTATAAATGCAAATAATGTAACCTAAGTGTATGTACCTTCATATTAATCCAAAGTAAAAAAGACAAAATAAAGATAAGGGAAATAAAGTAAAATAGTTTTTAAGTTAAAAAAACAAAAGAATTCTTTGAATTTTATTGTAAAGATTAAATATGAGCCTGATCACATCCATACTCACCCATACACACAGCAAAATGCCAAAACATTATCCCTTGCTTTACTAAGAAAACATTATCTGTTTTATATATATTTATCTATAACTGATTAATGAAGAAAATATTACATGTTATATATGTATCTAGACTTTAAAAAGTCTGATTTTCTGTATGTGTAATGCACTATCATTCATAAGACAATCGGTATATTATGCCCTACTTGTGAAATTTCTTATAATGCAGGAAAAATATTGATAGTTTTGCCTGGATGTCACAATGTGAATATGAGAAAATACCTTAGCCTTGTTAATCTAAAAATACAATTAATAGTTTTCAAAAAGTCTATATGGCCTGAACTTTCTGTTAGTATCTCCAAATTAACATCCCTGAATGCCTTTGCTTTTAAACTATTTCAAAAATTGTTTCCATAACAATCTTAATTGAATCTCCTGTGAGGCTATTTTTGTCATTGTAATCAACCAAAGCCTAGAATTCTATTTCAATCAAAATCTTTAACCCTTGGCAGTAATCTGAAAGTAGACACTTAGGAATATGTGACATTTATGTGGGTTTCTTCTCCTGAACTCCTCGACCCCACCCACGAGACGCCATAACCGAGGGTGATAGATGACCGGGGAGAGCACAGGCTGCTTTCATCTGTCCCAGACAATGTGGAAAATATTGTTCAGGGTCAGCTGGGTCGGGTCATCACCAGTTGAAGCCTGTCTAAATTAGATAAAGGGAGAGTGACAGACCTTTCACTAAGCCTGTACTTCCTTTTGTGACCAATAAGCACTGAGCAATTGGTAGAATGGCTTTTGCGGTAGATTGCAGCAGAGGCATGGTTGGCTTGGGGTCAGGTGGGTGGCACAGGTATGGGGAGCAAAGGGGCAGGCTCCTCTCAGCCCACATCACTCTGTTGTGTGGCTTTGCAGGTCCTGAATTGCCAGCAGTGAGTTATTCTTTCTCAGTTCTTGTTATTACTAGATTTCTTTAAAGCCCACTTTTATGTCTGCCCATTAATCATCTGTGTAATTTTAGAAGGCAAAATGCATGAGGCACAGAGCTAATTATGCATTCTATTATGTCTTTAGATATCTGGATGAAAGTCATGTTCTAACACTCAATCCCTTCCCTAAAACTCATTTCCACAAGTGATGATTTAATGATCTATTTACTTTAAAGGTTTGCCTTTGGGGACAAGGATTATCCTGGTTAGCTCCACTTGAAAGAATAGATTTTTATTTCATGGAATCTGTAAGCATTTAGAAAAATCACTTCAGGCTTTGAAAATACATTTTATACAAAATGCTGAAACCCATGTTTTGGCTATTTGTAGGTAGAAATGATCCCCTCTACGTAGGCAGAATATGAGTGTCATTGCGTCCACAGTTTTCAGATTCCATTGATTAAACATAGGACCAACTAGCTGTGGAAACAGCATGTATGAAGCAAACTGCCACTTTGTTTTTCAATTCTGAAGCCAGTATGTGTGAACAACAAAAGAATTATCGAGAGATGACACGATTATTAAATGTGATGATTGCTAATCAGTTTTCCCTGATCCATTTAGTTCTACCATTCATAGCCAATCTATCATATTATGTATAACTGGCTGGCTAAGAATGCAAACATTAGTCACATGTGTACCTTTCAATTTGATCTCTCAGTTTTTCTTTTGCTCTTTGAAAAACATCATTTTTTCAATATAATTACATCCAGGAATCCTAAGCATAAGCCATACACTTGATTATGCAGAGATACTTTCCTATGTTTCTAACAGTAGAGTGCAGTATTTTGCAAGGAGAGGTGACTCTGATTTAGCATATATTAATTTCTGTTAGATTGTGCTTTTCTGTGCCCTTGGAATACAGTTCAATAAGAATGTGTGCAAAAATTTTTCCGCTATAACCTCTACATTAATATCTTCTAAAGCTTAAGTCAAAAAATTACGACTTCAACTAGGTTCTAGATTTAGTGACGACAAAGGCAGAGTGGGTTACAGGTGGAGAAACACTGTCTCCTTCTAGATGTCAGCGTCCGCCCCGGAGCCACATCTGCGGCAGAAGATTTCCTTATTGTGGGTCAGGAAGCCCTCACCCACCAAGGAGACAGAACACTTCCCACAGTTAAAGCATTCGCTATGCCACTGGCGGTCTTGAAAGCAGATAAACTTGGCCCCTCTGAGACCTGTAAAGGAATTGGAGAAAAAGAGTAATCTATCCTTTCAAGGAATCAAACACTCCATCAGGTACTTCTCAAGAAACTGGAGACAGGGCCATGAGCATGACCACGTAGAGGCAAATAACCAGCAGAGAGTACAGCCCATCCCTGTGTCCATCTGGGAATGCCTGTCCTGGGCAAGTTCCACCTATGCCACATAAGCAGATTCCCAGGTAAATTCTGCCATTACCTGTAGAAGTAGGTAGAATCTGGACATAGAAACCACACATTGTTGGAAGTAGATAAGGTATGTCAAAAACAGATAAGTGGATACAGTGTAGTACCGTGGGAGGAAGACATAGGCTTTGTAGTCAGAGATATCTATGCGAGAGTATCACTTCCCTTTCTCTCTGTGTGACCTGCAGTTTGCTTAGCTAAAAGATAAGATGAAACATCCTAACCTGGTATCTGATATTTTAATCAGTTTTAAACTAACCCTATGACCAAGGAACGGACAGTAGAAATACAGTATTTCCACCTCATTAAGCGGCCATAAACTGCCAAAAAGAATAGCTGTTGGGTTTCCCAAGTGTCATGCTGGCTTCGGTTTCTTTACTATAGGATTAGCATTTTAGAAGGATCTCTGAGGTTTTTACCTTGAAACCTATTTAACTTATTATTGCATTATTTTCAAGTCATTTATCACACGTATTTTTTTCAGTAAAATGCTGTGTTTTCTTTCATTTGTTCATAAGTGCACTTCATAATTGCAAGCGAATAGAGAGAAAAGAGAATAATACATTTGTTAGAAGTATCTCAAGGTGAAGTTTAATTAGTTCCTGACCTATGTTATCTTAATTATTATAGCTTCAGATGTTCTATGCAATAGTTGTGTTTAATCAAAAATCTTTTCTGTCTTAAGGATGCTTGGCCCTACCTATTTCAGAACTAAGGCGAATTCTGATTTATTAGTAACCCTTCCTCTCACATCCTTAATGGAGCTCTTGGTGAAGGTCTTCTTTGACCTCTCAGCTCATTCTGCTCTCCTTCTTTCTCAAACTGAACAACCGGTACCATTAGGTGTAGAATGCAATTACCCTTTAGAGAGTATAGCCCCCCAAATTATACTCTGTACTTTCCTTGAAGGGGCGGTCATGTAATATGCATACTGATATATGAACACCTAGTTGTGTTTAATCTCAAAAGGAAACATAAATGAAAGATTTCCATAAGTTAACTAGACAGCATTTGGCATAAATGTCTCATCATCTGATCACACGGAACTAAAGAACTTACCAGTGATAGGTTTGAAACAGGCTGCACACTTTTTGGCATAGAGATAGTGGTAGCAGTCCAAGCAGAATGGATAATCATCTTTGGACATAAACGCTTCATCACAGAGCTCTTTCCTACAGCCACTACACAGAAAACACTCTTTGTGCCACAGTTGGTCACGAAATGTTACGCCACCTGAAGTTATCACCTACAGAAGGATCACAAAAAAAGGCAATGGCCATTGTAGCCATTATAATTCAGATCATTTCATGGTTCTCTTCTCTTTGAGCTACTTTATCATCTTGTGTTAGGATGTTCTTTTCCCTAAACACTTCTGTTTCTTTGAATCAGTGTGAGCAGCCAGAGGCTACAGAAATTACTTACAACTGGCAAAAATTGAAAATTGTGTCAAAAAAGTGTCAAATATGTATACATATTGTAAGAAAAAAGGAAAAATCTGTATTAAAATTATGTACTCAATATATACCAATAACATTTGTTATCTTGTATATCCCATCTTGTAGCTCTTGTAATTGCATAAGTCAAATATGACTTGAGTATTACAATTTTAATATAGCTTTTACCTTTCTTAAAATGTATGTACCTTTTTTGGCACCCTCCAAATTTTAATTTTTCTCCTGCAGTGGGAACAGAGAAAGGTAGAATAATATTGGACTCAAGAAAAACAGAATCGGATCCACAAATCACTTCCTCATACTTACCTGACTTTTCTTATTTTGGTCTTTAAAGATGTCTTTAGAAGTATTTTCTATAGCCATCTCTAATTTTCAAGGATTCCAAAAATATTCTACTTTTTCCTTAAAACTTTATACCAGGCCCAAGAATACCCAGCAGTACCATTCCTGAATGGAATTGGTCAGCACCATCATTGTTTTCTTGGCTGTAGGAGTTGTTTAGTATGTAGAAGGTAGCAGGTGGAGTGGTTAAGAGTACGAGTTCTGGGCCTCAGTGGGAAGGAGGGAGGGCATCACTGGGGTAAACTAATAATAATGCCAATAATCACTAGCACTTTTAGGTGGTTTTTCAGTCCTTAGCATTCTTCCAAGGGATGACCCCTTCTGAATATTCTCTGCACCTCTGCACCATAGTGACTATAATTATTGCTCCTGTACAGATGAGCAACTATTTAGAGTTAGAGTCATCAAGTTACCTGCCATGGGCACAGAGAGCTAGGATTCAAACCTGCACAGTCTGACTCCGCAGCTTGTATGCTTAATCATTAGTTCAGTACTGAGTCAGGTTACTTTGCACTGATAAGCAGTTAACAAGTCCTCAGTGAATGAATTAATAGATACTAAAGGACAAAATCATCCTAGGAATGCAATCCAACATTTTATCAAGCGATGGGGTGCTACTGGACTCAGGACTCAAAGTAGTGAACACTGGTTGTATGTGTACATCGAACCTTATGGTGTGACATGATGATGTTTTACCAGAGATGATCATTAATTTCCCATAAGATAATATAAATTTTTTCTAAATCATTTTCATCTAGGAATTCTACTTTTTAAAAAGGTAACATATCTTTATCGAGATGTTATTAAGATATTTATTATTATTCAGATAGATAAATACTGGGCAAATCTTCTGAAACTATTTTTAAGTCAAATCATCTTTCAAATCCATGGCTACTGAGTTCCTGGAGTTGCTGCCGGACCTGAAATGTGTCCATATAAATGCTTATGATCACTAAAGCAATGGGACATCTGAGATGGTTCCTATAACTTTCGTGTTCAAATTAACTGGATAGTGAAAATGCAGAGCCTATTTTAAGTTATGTTTTTGTTTACAAACTCAAAAATGTTGTTTGTCTGTGTTGTGGACTTCTGAGAGAAGTACTCTGAAGAATTTTTAATCTTATAACAAATATCTTAGGAATTAAAGATATTTGATATAAAAGTGATTTTTCCCTAGAGGAAAAAGGCATACTATTCTGAATAAGTAAATGGGAAGCATGACAGTGTGTGTGAAGCAAAGCAATTTAAATACCCCCTACTGACTTCAAATGCCTTATAGCAGGCACAGCGGAATTCAGGATTCCTTTGATTTGCTTGGTCTAATGATTATCAGGCAATGCTTAAAAGATTTGAAACTTGAAAAATGTATTCAGAGCAAAATAAAACTTGGCATATACACCAAAGACTGTTAATTAGGGAGAAGAAACTTTGGAACATTAAAAATAGTTTGCTTGTGATTATATTCCTTTTGAAGAGGTGGGAAGGTTAAGATGAAGTCTCATATCTAAGCTTGGTTTTTGCCAGTGATTGATCCCAGGATTTAGAACAAGTTTCTTATCTGACAAAGTGGAGGCAGTAAGGATTTTGCGCTCAGTAGGTGACAAAGCATGGAGAATACATTTAAAACGCTTTTTGAACCCTGAGGAGTTTGAATTGAAATCACTTGTAGTTGGAGATCACTAGTTTTTGGTAGAAAATAAATTTTAATGTAACACAAATCTATGGGAAAAAGTTCTGAGAGCCTGGTTGTCAGGTAGTTTTTGAAAGGACGGCATGGCTAGTATTGTAAATCATCTAACTCAAAAACATCCCTGCACACAGTGGTGCTCTGGCTCCCGTGTTTGCTTCTTTCTTGATCATCTGGGGGATTAACTTGCTTTATGAGCTTGTTTTGCAGAACTGGAAAAATACTGAACAAACAAAAGAGGGCATGTGGCCCCTCAGCTTCTTCCAGAGCTCCTCTTCAGCAGCTCTCTGACCACATTCTAAGAAGTCAGATAAAACCAACCTTTTCTTGAGCCTTGAAGAACCCTAAGCAGACAGCAGGGGTACAGGCACCTCCCCCACATTCCTGCCAGACCTCTAGACAGGACTCATTGGGGTGGGGAGAAAAATAGGCAGTTTCACAGCCATTTCTGTTATCAACTTACAACATTAACCCTTTATTTACCCTTTATAATTCCCTATCTAAGTCCTCAGCCTCTTTGGCTTGGGGCCAGCACCACCTTCTTCTTCCTTTCAGAGGCTACACCATCTTTCTCTACTCTCACTCTCTCTCTTTTTCTCTCTGAGGCAGCAAAATAAACTTTTCTTCACTATCCCACTTCCTGTGTGAGAATCTTTCTCTACACTTTGTGAACTTCCCACCCTTAAATCACCCTTTCCATCTTTGGTTTGGGTTGAAAAAAATTGTTTAGCTTGGATCATCTCAATCAAAACCATTTATATCTAGCTTTCCTTAGAAGACTTGTGGTTTTAAAAATGAAATAGAATTTAATCTGGCATGTCAAAATCTGTCTACTACCCAATATAAATATTTCACAAATTTTCGATGACTTCAGATCATATCCTAAATATAGTCGGGCTCCTCTAACCTGGGAAATGCCAGCACTTTGGCCCAGACAGAGCTCAGCACTGATGTACTAGAGAAGTTCCTCTTGTAAACTTTTATAGCTTTGAAAGATACTTTATATCGTGTCCAATAAATGATTTTAAGATAATTTTCATAAGTGTCATTAATGTTTTAGCCTGAGTCTTTAAGAAATGAAGCCTAAAATGGGCCAAAACAGTGAGATGAAACTATTTATTTTATTTCCAGCATGTTTTAAATGCATGTTGTTGACTCTGACTAATTTTGGAGCTTCATTTGTCACAGGGTCATGGGTTTGATTGCTGCTTGTAAAGTCATTTTCTACGTCGGTGTTTCTGGGAGAGTAATGGAGATCCCAAGATATAAGATGATTTCACGTCATGTTATGAGCAATTGTAATTCACTGTCATCATTATGGCACAACTTAATAATTATGACTTAGAATAGTGTACTGATGCCTCCTGAAATGCAGTACCAGCATTGTTAATACTTGTAGAGAACCACTGTGTGTGTGTGCATAGGTATTTGTATATGTACCTGTAGAGAGTGGACGTGAGACTTCTGTCTGTCCAGATGCAAGTATCCTAAGAGATCTGTCAAATTTGCCCGTGGATCAAAGATGTTTAGAAACCACTACACTAATTCATTGTGTTTTCGTGATTAAGCTTTCTCATCACAATGCATGGTACCATTTCAAACTTTTGATGTCTCACTGGTGAAGGATTCCTATAGAACATCCTTTTGTATTTTAAGGAATAGAGGCAGGCTTTATCAAAGTGATAGACATGAGTGATTTCTTCACATAACAACTCAGAAGATAGAAAAGAATTGGAAAAAGTTTACTTAAAAAATGGCTTTTTTGTTCCTATAACAAAATGTGTTTTGCTTGGAAAACCAAGTCCGAAGGCCCTAGACGATACTCTAGAACTGGAAGGGAAGGAGCTGGCAGCTCTCAGTGTTTCTGTCTTTGTGTCTACTACATTTCCCTCATGAACTTGGCACTCTGTTGAGTCTATGAGCTAGGAAATAAGAAAGCCTTATTCCTTAGTGTGAGGTGGTAAACATGCCGTTTGAATGTTTCCTCAGTCACTCTGCTATGCAAATCCATAATTCTCCAAAATATTTAGTATTGAGTGGATTAAAAATTATTTTGTAATGAACATTCTATATTCAAAATTCAAAGAGGGAGGTATGTCCTCTCCAAGAATACTTGATATTTTCTATAAAAGCAGCGAATAAAACAGGAATATCAAATCACTTGAACTCTTTGAAATACTAACTTCATGTTGTGGGTGGAATTTTATGAAGACAAAAAAAAGATGTTCATCTTCATCTTATGACACCTCGTGGTTTCTGGATATGCTGGAAAACCAACACGAACGTGTAAATACAACCTGATAGGCAGTTAGATATGGTGCCGCTAAGAAGCAATGAGCTCCAAGGTTCCACAAGTTTCAACCTCTTTAGATAATTACCTTCTTACAGAAGTTGCAGTGTTGAGCAAACTCTTTCTCAAAACATAGCACACAATAATTGCCGTTGTCTTTGGAGATCAAAGGCTTTGTCCCTATTGGCTGTCGGCAGTGCTCGCACACAAAGCAGGTTTCGTGCCAGTAGTTTCCCTTGAATTCCATTTTGCGGGAACCTGTACTCCAAAAGTAAGAACCTGTTAGTACAGGCCAAGCAGGATTTGATTTCCTTTTTAAACATACATAGATCAAATGACCTAAAAAAAAAGGTTTTTTTAAGTGACAAATGAATTGTCTGTTTAGAAAATAGTATTTAGCCAGTTTCAGAAACATCATCTAGGAAAATAAAGGTTCAGAGAGTTCACCCAATGATGATGGTGAATCGCTTTGATGAATCGTTCTTTCTGATGTCCCTGGTGATGCCTAAGGCAGGGAGTTTAACAGAGTTTGGGCACACGTTTTGTCTTTGTACTGTGGGCCAGGCTCTGCTTTGAAATGTTTCTGTAAGTTACGTTTATTCAAGAGTAAGGAATGAACAATCGTTTTATTGCTAAAGTACACCGAATGAGACCCAGCGAGGGTAAGGAGGACTTCCTGGCAAGCCGGGTGTTGTTGCGGCCGCGCCCCCCGCGCAGGTGCGGAGGCCGAGCCCGGCTTACCCGGCATGATGGTTCTCTTGCAGTGGAAGCACCGGGAGGAGCACTCGTTGGAGTAGCACTCCGTGCACAGCAGGCGCTCGTCCTTGGCCGCAAATGGCTTTTCCACCAAAGAGTGTTTGCATTTGGTGCACTTGAAGCATCCCTCGTGCCAGTGCCGGTCTTTGTAACAGAGATCCTTCGAGACAGGAAATAAAAGTTAATTAAATGTGTTTGCGACCAAACAGGCCATTTTATGACAACACTGGACATTCCTGGGCCTTCAGCGCTAGTAGGTTGTGCTAATAGCTTGAGGGAAAGTTGTTACTGACGCTGACACCTTGTGCAGAGGACTTTCTCTGCGGTAATTAAAAGCCAGAGCCTGGGGCTTTTTTAGTGGGTCACTAAAGGCAGCTGGAAAATCTGTAAAATTCTTCTATTTCTTCAAATTCTCTCTATGTTCCTCTTATAAACTACAGACAAATGAAACATACCCAGGAAGGAAGGGAGGAAGGAAGGGCATTGTACTAGGACCCAGCACTCTTGTCACTGTAGAAACAATTCAATACTCTAACTGTGTAACTTTGGGCAAATAGCTTAACTGCTTTAATGTTTAGCTTCCTAACCCACCCTCCCAGATTATGTGAGGATTAAAGCATGCGTTATATTTTATAGTGCTGAGCACAGTGACTAGAACTTGATTAACGGTAACTTCTAAGATCCTTGTATCCAGCAGCAGAGAAATGGTGTTAAAAATCAACGCTAAATAAAAAGAGGCATTCCAAAAGATGCATCTGCCGTTCGTACGGGATGATTCTGTGACCCCGGGAGAGTCCTACCTTGGAATCTGATTCAATCGGTTCTTTGCACTCCTCACAATAGTTAGAAAAGATATGGTCATAACAGGAAACACAGTATGGACTGTCATCCCTCAGGACATACTTCTTCCCAAGAAGCGATGCTGTGCAGTATTGGCAATCAAATTGAACAGTTGTCATTTTTGTTTGAACCTGTGAATAAGAAAATCATTCATGTTTATAAAAGTAGAATTTTGTTGTAAGATAAATGATAAAGCCTCAATACAAGTGTGAGTGAGGTGCTTGAAAGAAGTTATATTTTCTTAAGCACAAATCCATAATTTTCAAATTTGGGAAAATATGCTTGTCGTCATGGTGACACGGAGTGATTTAGAAAAGGTCAACTCTCCCTCATCTTGGCAGTTCTTGTGGGTTTTGCTTTAAAAGAAGAAGAAAAAGAAGGAGAAGAAGAGGCATCACCGGGCAGCCAGACTGTGAAAACATCTTGTATTCGTCATGAGCTAAAGTGGAATTCAATGAGGATACGATACGTGTAGAAATGGCATAGTTTCACCTCGAGGATATAAACACAAACTGTTGCTAGGGCTTTTAATAACTATCTTCACTTACTATTCTGCTGGAGAGTCCAGAGGCAGAGCTTGATGGACATAACAGTCTTTTTTACTCAAACTTAAATAGAAATGAATCATCAGGCACATTGTCATTTTGTAGTTTCGGCTTTTATTCCTCAGGTCTTCACTGGGTTCCTAACAAGGGCTCTGCATGTTAGTCCTGAGGTTTTCCCGAACCATCCACAATCCCTGGGACAGTCTTTTTACCTGTGCCTTCAACCACCCCAAATATGCTAATGAATCCAATACTTCTTTTACTTTGTAGCTTTTGTGTTCTGGACATCTGGACATTTCCATTTATTTAAAAAATTACTTTTATTTTTTAAATTAACTTGTTATAGACGAGGTCTTCCCCTACTGCCCAGGCTGGAGTACAGTGATGTAATCATAGTTCTCTTGGGCTGAAGTGACCCCCACCTCAGTCTTCTGAGTAGTTGGGATTATAGGAACATGCCACCACACCTGACTAACCCTGTTTTTTGTAGAGATGGGGTCTTGCTATATTGCTCAGGCTAGTCTCACAAACTCCTGCATCAAGCAGTCTTCCTGTCTTGGTCTCACAAAGTGCTGGGACCAAGGATGAGCCACCATACCTGGCTGACATCTCCATTTAAATGTCCTATGCCAAGCTGACCAAATAAACTCCTCAGCAGATAGGATTCCAACAAGTGCTAGGTCTTTGTGATTATTATAGAACAATTATCTACATATAGAAGTACAGATAAAATCATCAGTGGTAGAAAACAATAGATGAGTGCCTTCATGCTTGAAGCCAAAGTATTAGCATAAATAACAGCAGAAGCCTTTTCATTATAGCTATTAAATAAAATAGCTAGAATTTATCTGCAGGATTAATTTCATTATGTTAGATGAACAAAAAGTTGATATGAATGGATTCCAATTATTTTGAAAATTTAGAGAACTTACTAGGGAGTAAAACATATAAATTTCAAAAGGTTTTAATTTAGCATTGAACATGAAACTTTAATTATTACCAAAAATAGTAGCACGGCCGGCAGTGGTGGCTCCTGCTGTAATCCTAGCACTCTGGGAAGCTGAGGCGGTGGATTGCTTAAGTTCAGGAGTTCAAGACCAGCCCAAGTAAGAGCAAGACCTCGTCTCTACTAAAAATAGAAAAACAAGCTGGACTTTGTGGTAGGAGCCTCTAGTCTCAGCTAGTCAGGAAACTGAGGCAAGAGAGTCTCTTGAGTCCAGGAGTTTGAGGTTGCTGTGAGCTATGATGCTATAGCACTCTACCCAGGGAGACAGAGTGGGACTGTGTCTTGAAAAAAAAAATAATAGCACTGATTTTCCTTGGAAAATGAGGTTTACCATCTTGCCATCTCTGGATTTACTGGAATATATTAGGAGCTTCGACTATTTTCTAATTCTCTCCCTCCACATTTATTTTAATTTTAAGAAAATCAGAAGCTCAGTTAATCATCATGATGTTTCTTATGGCACTTTTGATGGTAGCTTGTACCACATTTGAACTGTTATTCCCACACATTTTGCCTTCTCTTATTTTAGTGATGAAGCTCCCGTCACTGTGCCTTGCTATATATATATTGCTATTAATTCTGTATACAGCAATTTTTCTATAATGTTCCTCACTAATAAGTAGAGAAAAGCCAGAGGATTTGGAACATGTGGGTCTTTTCCCAAGAAAGATGAAAATTCAGAGGAGAAAGTTTACAAGGGAACATGGCCAAAATTATCTGCAAGGAACACGGAATTCTCTGTTTGATTAATTTCACAGAAATGTCCCTTCCTAGTGAACACAAACACAGTCAGAGGGTTACTTGGGGTTTGGCGACAGCAGGAAAATAGATCTGATTCCCTTGAAAGGTTTAAAAATAAAAGGTTTTTTTTTTTTTAAACATTTACAATGTTGAAGCTTTCATCACTTAATGAAAATAAAGGATATACCTTTAACTTTCATTATTTAATATAGAAAATGTCATTTTCATTATTAGTATTCATTTAGTTACATATATAACTACTTTAAATGTAAATACACATATGTAAATATAAAATAGCACCACAAAGCATGATGTATCAGGGTTAAGAACTGCCAGGCTGGCTCAGCGCCCATAGCACAGTGGTTACGGCATCAGCCACATACACTGAAGCTGGCAGTTCAAACCTGGCCCAGGCCAGCTAAGCAAAAATGACAAATGCAATAGAAAAATAGTGGGACATTATGGCAGGCGCCTGTAGTCCCAGCTACTTGGGAGGCTGAGACAAGAGAATTGCTTAAGCCCAAGAGTGTGAGGTTGCTGTGAGCTGTGACACCATGGCACTCTGTGGAGGGTGACAAAATGAAACTCTGTCTCAAAAAAAAAAAAAAAAAAAGAACTGTCAGGCTATTTCTAGTTTGTGAGGCTTTTAATATATTATGAAATGAAGAAACAAAAATGGATTATGAAATTGGTAATATTTTAATTATTTATGTTAAATAACACGTTAACTATGACAGCATTACAATACCTGTGTCTCATCCGGCGATCGGGTCACAGTCTAAACATAACACAAAGTGGTCCTTCCCCATCCTTATCCTATCCCATCTTGACTACACAAGGCTCCATATATATTTATATATATATTATTATTTTTTTTCTCCATAGATACTTTTTAAAACAATTCTTATTTTTATTTTTCCATCTGGCCCTAGTGTGACAACCTAGCATAATAGTTGACAAGTATTCTAGAATTTTTCTTTCTCTTCTTGTTTGTTGTTCTTCTTAAAATGCAGTGAATGAAGTGAAATGCCAGGCAGGAGTTGAGAAGAAGGTTCATGAATTAGAATAGTTCGGTCTAAATCCTGGCTTCCTTTCTTATTAACTGGGTGACTTTTTTTTTCTTAATTTTTAGATCACATTGTCTGCATGTGTTAGGTAAAGACCCGGTTGTAGATGTGCCCCTCACCCAGGAGGTGAGCCCTGTACCCTTACCTTGTGCCTGTTAGGTGAGAGCACACCATCCCTCTCCCTCCTCCCCTCTTCCCTCAACTTGAATCTAATTGAGTTTTTTTTGCATGCTCATGTATTTGTTTGTCTTTTGGCTTCATGTTAGTTTTGAGCACATTGGATAGTCCCTTTTCCATTCTTATGATACCTTCCTAAAGTGAATCTTCTCCGACTCCATCCAGGTTAGTACAAAAGATGTAAAGCCTCCATTTTTTATGCCTGGATAGTATTCCATGCTATACATATATCACACTTTATTAATCCGTTCATGTGTTGATGGGCACTTGGGTTGATTCCACATCTTGGTGACTGTAAATTGAGCTGTGATACATACTTATTCATTTTTTTTTTAAAAAGAAAGTAACTTATTCCATTGTATTTCGTAAAAACAACATCAGGGAGTTGGGTAGGGTAGGAACAGACTTAATCTAACATCTTGAAACCTTGTGATTTTACACGAGGACTCTACAGTGAGAGGAAGCATTTGGTCAGGTCAATATCTATTGAATATTTACTTAGTGACATTTGAACTCCATACCATCAAGAAGTCCAAATCCTCTTAGCTTAGCTCCTACCTTAGGAATAGAGACTATAATTTGAGGTAAGAGAACAAACTGAATGTTTATTCCCTTCTTGGTTGGAAAAAATATGCTAAGACATTCAGTTCTCATTTTCAAGAAATCTTTTTAACCATTGAACTTTGAGTGTGTCCTGAGGGAATTTCTTAAAAATGAAGGTGTTATAACTGTATAAATGATTCACATTCTATTGGAACCATATATTATGGAATTCTCAAGAAAGTTATAGAAGGAAAAGGGAGGAGAGGTCTTTCTAGGAAGATTACAAAGAAATTAGCTGTTGGAAAAATCAGGAAGGAAGGAAGGAAGGAAGGAATCAGTCTTGACTTACTGAGCAAGGGAAACCAAGAAGGAGATTGGCACAGGAGCTCATCTAAAGTGGGAATGGTCAGTCTTGAGACCTGTCACTTGGGTACATCCAGGATAAAGATGTTGAAGCTCTGAAGCTTTTAAAAGCTGTTTAAACTTCTAGTGAAAGTCATTCTAAATAGAGAGGGGGCAGTTAGAAGAGGTAAGCGTGTACATTTTTTTCAATTATACCACTTTTTGCCACCTTATTCTCTTCTAAACATTATTTTGTACTTTTTGTTATACCGAAAATAAATCATTGTAAATGCTCAGGGAATAACTCTGTCCAGAGGAGCAGGCAAATGGCTTGTTTTTAACCATTCCCTAACAGCTAAAGCTATAGGAAGTAGGATGAAGACTATGTATGTGATTTTTGTCTTGGGGATCTTCATCTGAGTGTTAGTTTATCAAAGATACTGGGAAAATTTTGCTTTCAAAGACTTAGAAATCTTGAGCAAAGCTGATTTGTAATTACAATGTATAAGAACTGTTTTATTTTCAGATCCAGGATCTTGTTCTGTCACTCTGGTGTGTGTGCAGTGGCGTAATAATAGTTGACTACAGCCTTGAATCCTGGACTCAGGTGAGCCTCCTGCCTCAGCCTCCAAAGTAGCTGGAACTATAGGCATATATCACCATGCCCAGATATTTTATTCATTTTTTTTTGTAGAGGTGGGGGCAGGCTG